TTTGTGTGTTGCCTTTGTGGCCTATTAACTTGCTTTGTGCTTGTTAGTAGCTTTGTGATTTTTTCCCTTTGAACTCGATGACCGTGGTGCTTGTTAGTAGCTTTGTGATTTTTTCCCTTTGAACTCGATGACCGTTTGGTAGAGTTCGGTCCTTTATGGACTTGGTATGCTTGGTGATCTTACCCCGATCTTTATGATCTGAGTTTACTTTGTGTATTCCCTTCCATTGCTTGTATCTTCTTTGTGATCATACAGGTAATGCTTTGGCGATGATGAGTCCTGCAGTTCCGTGTTTTTTCTCAGTGCACTACCTTAGGCCAAAGGTGGAGATTGTTGCTATTTGTTGGCCCATGTGCTAAAAGGAAAATGCCCCTACCTTTGTTCATCCCCCTATGCTTAGCTGTCTGCTGCCATCTTTCTATTCCTAGCCCATATGCTAGTGTTGGCTCCCATCCCCTTGCCCATATGCTAGTGTTCGCTCCCATCACCTTGCCCATATGCTAGTGTCGGATCCCACCTTTATTTAGTCGAGCCCTTTCACTGTTTTGGGAGGGGAAGTGTGAGGAGAACCCTCTGTAAGCTTTGTGCGAGAGACAGAGAGAGTTGAGAGGGACGGAGAGTTGAGTGAGCTTTGTGCTCTCACCCGTTGTGCGATCCTCTCCCTTACCCGAGCTTTGTGCTCTCACCCGTTGTGCGATCCTCTCCCTTACCCGAGCTTTGTGCTCTGAAGAGCTTTGTGCGAATCCCCCCTTTCAGTGAACTTCACCCTTTGAGAGGTGAGAGACAGTGAAGTAAGAAGAGAGAGAGACTGAGAGAAGAATAGGAGCGACGGAGTGAAGTAGAACAAAAGCTCTGTGCTCTGGAGATCTGAGTGATCCTCTCCCCCTTTTGTGCGATCCCCTTCCTCTTTGTGAGTGATTTGAGGAGAATATCAGCGAGCTTCCCTTTGTGTTCTTAGTGATGCACAAGAGAACAGCTGAGGACTGGTTGAGGAGGCTCCTGAGCCAAACAACGACGACGTCGATCATCCAGCAGAATTTAGGATGATATTCCTCTTTCCCCTTTCTTTTTCACAGTCTTCTTCTTTCTCTTCTTCTTCTCTTTTTTTTCCTAATTTCTCCCTCTTTCCTCCCTTTTATCCTACTGTGAGGCGGTGAGAAACACCGACATGGAGAGGCGGTGAGGAACAGTGAAACGTTTGGTTTTTTCTTTTTTCTTTTTTTCTCAAATTTTATTTTGTTTTTTTATTATTTTTTTTATTTTTTTAATTACCTATTTATTTGGGGGTTATTACTGGTTTCCTCAGTAGTTGATGGCACGCATCAAACTGCTTCCCACATATAATCATGATGACGCATATAATCTCATTTGTTGAACCAAAATATTTTCTGAAGTAACTAAAATCATACTGAACCATCATCTTGGAGGAAATGGGGGGTTATTAGTGTCAAATATAATCTTATGTTACAGGAAACTTTCAACTTCTCCTTCATCCTAAGTACAGAACTTACATATCAAGAATCAGAGACCTGAAATTGTTATGGAACAAAGGGTTTCATGTCTATGAGAATAAATCATCCATAAATGGAACGTCAAAGGGAAGCTTTATAATCCCAGAAGCAACCAAAAGTAGCAAGAGCCACACTGGTAGGATCTTTAAACACACGACCAGCAGAATTTGTTGCCCTGCGTACAAGTTAACAGATTAGACACAAATTTTTCAAGTGGTCAATTGAAATTCGTTTTTCATTGTGGCAGTCAAGATTTATTATATGAACACTTTTACCTGTTGAATCTATAATCCTAAGTTCATATCAATATATATATATTTTTTACTTCTGTTATGTTCTAGGTTGTATTTTCTACCAGAATATATGGCTTATTTGCACTTTAATACCCAAAGGTTCACCATTTTTTAACTCCGGAAGTTCTATTTTACAATTTGATACCTCCAAAACCCAAACTTTATCCCTCTCTTTCCCCAAACTCAAAATGCCGAAATTTGATGAGACAACTTGTTTATAATTCACTCTCCTATATTTTTATCATCGGACATAACTAGAGTCAACTTCTGCACTTCGAACCATCAAATTGTCAAAATATAACCTCAGTTAAGAAAGGGTGAAGTTTTGGGGGGTTATTAAACTGCAATACATTGAAAATGTCGTCACGAAAACTATTTCTAAAGCGCGCTACTAGAACCAATACTCGCGAAAACTGTGATTTTTTTTTGAAGAGGAACAACATCCCTCTCCTCATACACACTCTCTTCACCTCTCCCTCCCCTCTCTCCTCCTCCCCCACCTCCCTTCTCCTCCTCTCCATGACCATGTTTGGTTTAGTGCTGGGCTTTCTATTATATTCTGGTTGCTCATAATCTAAAGTAAAAAAAAAATTACTTTAGATTATTCCTCAGGCTTCCACCCATTTACTCATATTTGCCACTTTTAACAGCAAAACAGCTATTTCTAAAGTAAAAATTAAAAAAATTTACCCTCTTCATCCAAATTGTGCAAGTCATGTGTTAAAATTACACCCTCTGTTGCTACAAAATGAACTCTTTTTCCTCATCAAACCAAATTAATCCCAGGAACCTAGATTACTCCTTCCAAAACTACACAATTTAACTCCATAGCTAACCATTTCTAGCAAAAAGAAGAAGAAGAAAAACTCATTCTTTTCCTCATCAAAAAAAAAAAAAACAAGAAACCAGATCAAATCAAACGAAAACTCACCCGCCTTCGCATTGGCCTCAGTCTGATCGACCACCCACTCGGCCAGCTCCCTAACCTTGCCTCTCGCACCGGGGGGCCCTCCGCCTGCCCCGATCGGCGTCAGCGACGATCAGATCGCAAGCATAGAAGGCGGCGGCGGCGGACGAGGTCCGACCGACGAATCGAGGCCATCAAGTTTCCTCGCGATAGGATCGCGTCGATACGACCGCGCGGATGGCTCGTGCAGCCTAGGGCCACGCCGCTGGCTTTGCCGACGGGCGCCCTGACGCGGAGGTGACGACGGGGAGGGACGGTGTGCGTCGGCGGCGAAGGGGAGGAGAGGGTATCGCCAGGAGAGCGAGAGGCGACAGGTGTTTGGTGATCGGAGCGGATTTTGTTGGCGCCCAGCGACCAATTCATGGATAGAGGAATAATGTTTCGTATTGTTCTTATGATGCTCATACATTAGAGTTTCGCGGGCAGGGTAGAGGGTAGATTATTTTATGAGCTATCAGGGCGGATATTTACGGGAGAGGGTAGATATTTTATGAGGCTATCCGGATATTTACCCGGCCCAACTCAGAAGCAACCGAAGCATACCATCCGTTTTCAATATCCCAATCTATATCTATACTACTTATGATTTTCATTTCTGCCCTTTTAAATAGTTGTAATTAATCATTCACTAATTATATATAACCTCTTATCAATTATGTATTTCCTCACTTTTTCAAAACCTTTGGTCACACTATTATTTTATTATTAAATTATGTTACTTAATAGAATATTTGAAATTTATCCCTAATTTATCTTCACATAATATTTAAAATTATAGAAAAAGTAAAAATTAATAAAAATTCATTAGGCTTATGCCTTAGGGTTTCACATCTTACGGACGACTACATGTTACCTTTCATCTTATTAGCTTTTTAAAAGTATAATAATAGTATCAAAAACAATTTGTATTTATTGTAATTATAATAGTATAATAATTTTAATAGTATTTTTTAAATTAATGAATTACATTGTTATTGAATAATTATACAATTTAGTAAATTATTTACTAATAGTGTAATGAACTAATTATGAAATTTAAATATAGTTACTAATATTATTATAATTATGATATGTATAATATTGTTATATTTAAAAGAGAGTGCATTACTTAATATATATTATAATTAAATTACGAACAAATTATAATAATTATCCAAACTATAATAAGTAATCGTATAATTATTTATACACAATATTATCGTACAATTTATTCGTTTAAAAATAATTGTGATTGTTCAGAATTTGTATTGCTAAGCAAGCCATTTTAGCATTTTGCAGCCAACAAAAAAAAATTTAAAGAATATAAAACAAAGTAGATATGCTCTCGTGCAAAGCATGTGCGCTATAATAGTATATGAAAATGAGGAAAATACGATTTATTGAAATCGATGTGTTATTCCAGTGTTTAATATCACAATATATGAAAATGAGGGAAATACAATTTATGAATTTCATCTGTTGACCAAACCGACCCCAGGTGTTGAGGGGAGGTAGCTGCGGGGTGAGAATCAAACCTTAACTGATACTCCGGGTTCAAATTGATCCGTCGGAACCATCTGAGCCACCTGTTGGTGGTGAGTGATGTGCTATTTCAAATTAAAGAGTGTGATGCTCTTCGAATTTGCTTGGAATAAAATTATTAGCTAGAAAAAATATTAGGACTTTATATTTGAGATGGTGACCATAGAACGTTCGTTTTAGTCCAATATTGAAGTTCATGGCATCTTCATCC